AGCTGGAGGTATCACCCTACCTGACTTCAAACTATACAAGGCTACAGTAATCAAAACAGCATGGTACTGGTACCAAAACAGAGATATAGACCAATGGAACAGAACAGAGGCCTCAGAAATAACACCACACATATACAATCATCTGATCTTTGACAAACCTGACAAAAACAAGCAATGGGGAAAGGATTGCCTGTTTAATCAACGGTGTTGAGGAAACTGGCTAGCTATATGCAGAAAGCTGAAACTGGATCCCTTCCTTACACCTTATACAAAATTTAACTCCAGATGGATGAAAGATTTAAACATAAGACCTAACACCACAAAAACCGTAGAAGACAACCTAGGCAATACCATTCAGGACACAGACATGGGCAAGGACATCATGACTAAAACACCAAAAGCAATGGCAACAAAAGCCAAAATAGACAAATGGGATGTAATTAAACTTAAGAGCTTCTGCACAGCAAAAGAAATTATCATTAGAGTGAACCGGCAACAGAATGGGAAAAAATTTTTTGCAATCTACCCACTTAACAAAGGGCTAATATCCAGAATCTACAAAGATCTTAAACAAATTTACAAGAAGAAAACGACCCCATCAAAAAGAGGGCAAAGGATATGAACATTTTTCAAAAGAAGACATTTATGCAGCCAACAAATATGAAAAAAAGTTCATCACCGATCACTAGAGAAACGCAAATCAAAACCACACTGAGATACCACCTCACGCCAGTTAGAATGGTAAGCATTAAAAAATCAGGAAACAACAGATGCTGGAAAGGATGTGGAGAAATAGGAACACTTTTACACTGTTGGTGGGAGTGTAAATCAGTTCAACCATTGTGAAAGACAGTGTGGCGATTCCTCAACGATCTAGAAATACCATTTGACCCAGCAATCCCATTACTGGGTATATACCCAAAGAATTATAAATCATTCTATTATAGAGACATATGCAAACATATGTTCATTGTGGCACTGTTCACAATAGCAAAGACTTGGAACCAACCCAAATACCCATCAGCGATAGACTGGATAAAGAAAATGTAGCACATATACACCATGGAATACTATGCAGCCATAAAAAAGAATGAGTTCATGTCCTTTGCAGGGACATGGATGAAGCTGGAAACCATAATTTTCAGCAAACTGACACAAGAACAGAAAATCAACCACCACATGTTCTCAAAGTGGATGTTGAACAACGGGAACACATAGACACAGGGAGGGGAACATCACACACTGAGGCCTGAGGGTGGGGGCAGGGGTGTGTGGCAGGGTTAGGAGAGGAATAACAGGGAGTGGGGGGATTGGGGAGGGACAGCATTAGGAGAAATATCTAATGTAGATGATGGGGTGATGGGTGCAGCAAACCACCATGGCATGTGTATACCTATGTAACAAATCTGCACATTCTGCACATGTACCCCAGAACTTAAAGTATAATAAATTATTTTTTTAAAACATGCACAAAAGCATCCAATAAAAAAACTACAGCTATAAAAATTTGTCTTAAGCAAGCAGCATTACAAAAAAACTCTTAGCCTGCCCAGTTATTAATAATCAGCAAGGCAATCAGGTGTATGTTTATTTAAAAAATTTTAAAAAGGCTTTACAAGCCAAAGCCACACAGCCAAGAAAAAGGAAAAAAAAGAAAAAAGAAAAAAAGGCTCTGGCAAAAAAGCTCCTCCCAAGCCAGCCAAGGCGGAAAAAGCAAGCAGCACCCAGGCAAGGCCAGCATCGCTGCCTGCCATCCGGAACCCGCCCGCGCCTGCTGCTCTCCACAGGCGTCCCACAGTAAGATTTCCTGCGTTCTTTGTATACAAGCAACATCCCAAATTGTAATTCTCAGCCATAATTTAAGTTAAATTTAAAAATTTGTAAAAACTTTTCTAATATTGGCCGGGCGCGGTGGCTCAAGCCTGTAATCCCAGCACTTTGGGAGGCCGAGGCGGGTGGATCATGAGGTCAAGAGATCGAGACCATCCTGGTCAACATGGTGAAACCCCGTCTCTACTAAAAATACAAAAAATTAGCTGGGCATGGTGGCGCGTGCCTGCAATCCCAGCTACTCAGGAGGCTGAGGCAGGAGAATTGCCTGAACCCAGGAGACGGAGGTTGCGGTGAGCCGAGATCGCGCCATTGCACTCCAGCCTGGGTAACGAGCGAAACTCCGTCTCAAAAAAAAAAAAAATTTTTAATTAAAAAAAATTTATGCAAGTAAACTGTATAAATGTTGTTTAAAAAGTCTAAGCAAGTTTTAAAACAGTAACTGTAAAGAAACTTGTGTGTGTAAACATATTGGTTAAAAGTTAAAAGGGTATCATCTAGTTTTTCTATAAACTAGACATTAAAATAAAGCACACGTTTTTTTAAAGTACTAACCTCTTTACAAAAATTCTAAAAAGTCTCTTAGCACAGTTACCAACACTAAAATTTCCAGTACACCAGCACCAGCCAAAAAACTGCATATTCATTAAAAAAACTTAAGCCAGCCTAAAAAAAAAACTGCAAAATAACGCAGCTTCCTCAAACCACACAAGCCCTAAACATCACCTAAAACATACTAAAAAAAGCCCCAAAAACGCAAAAAGCTAAGAAAATCCTGCTTAAAATTGGTTTATTTTTTATTCTGACTTTGCCTGAAACCTGTACTTGCTACATTCTATCAAGCCCATCCTCTAATCTACATTTTTCTGCCCTGTAACTTAAACTAACACCCCCTTCTAACAACACAACTGCTTAATTAAAAAAATTAACTTACCCTCAGTAAAGTTCCTCCTTAACGGCATACAGTAAACTAAAACGCCAACACTACAGGTCAAACACAAAACATTCATAGCTCCACTTGCGGCTTTTCTGGTCTCAGCCATATTCATCCTGGCTACGACCAGCGTTACAGCAGCATCTATTACTAAGTCAGTACAAACAGCTGCTTTTGTAAATCCTCTAGCCAAAAATAATGAAAAGGTGTGCAAAATCAGCTCTCCTACTTAAAACACCATTCCCGAAAGTCGCTCTTTAACTAAAAACAACTGTTGCTAATTATACTCATAATTTTCTTATTTGTTAATCCTAAAATGCAACGCCAAAATAGAAGCAAAAACCACCTCACCAAACCAACCTGTGGCTAAACGCATCAGTAACCACCAAACAACAAAGCCTAACTTTATTTTATTTTTTTAAAAAAGGCACGATCTCCGCTCACTGCAACCTCTGCCCTCCAGGTTCAAGTGATTCTCCTGCCTCAGCCTCCTGAGCAGCTAAGATTACAGGTGTGTGCCTCCACGCCCAGCTAATTTTTGTTTGAATAGAGACGGAGTTTTACCATGTTGGCCAGGCTGCTCTTGAACTCTTGACCCCAAGTGATCCACCCAGTCTGACAGAGTTACGTTTTAAAGGGGTTGATCAGGCTGGATCTTCTGGGGAAGGTGACATTCAAGCAAAGACTTGATGGAATTGAGAGACTGAGACATTTAGAGATATCTGGGCAAAGGATTCCAGGCACAGGGAAAACACCCTGAGGCAGGAGGGCGTCTGGTATGCTGGAGGAAGGGCAAGGAGGACAATGCCAGTGTGGCTACAGATGAGAGCAAGGGAACTAGGAAGAGGGAGCGGGGTGATCATGAGAGGAGAATAGAGGTAACCGGGACCAGGTCCTGTTGTGTCTTGTAGTTCACCTTTTATGGCTGGTGGGGCTGGGCACGGTGGCTCACACTTGCAATCCCAGCACTTTGGGAGGCTGAGGCGGGTGGATCACCTGAGGTCAGGAGTTCCAGACCAGGCTGGTCAACATGGTGAAACCTAGTCTCTACTAAAAATACAAACAAACAAAAATTAGCTGTGTGGGGTGGTGGGCGCCTGTAATCCCAGCTACTCGGGAGGCTGAGGCAGGAAAATTGCTTGAACCTGGAAGGCGGAGGTTGCAGTGAGCCGAGATGGCGCCATTGCACTCCAGCCTGGGCAACAGAGCAAGACTGTCTCAAAAAATGACAACAACGCAAAAGAATTCAGCTTTTACCTTGGGAGAAATGGGGAGCACTTGCAAGGCTTCAAGCCAGGGAGGGGCCTGATCTGACTAACGTAAGAGAATCCTCTGACTGCTGGAAGACGTCACCGTGGTGGGGACAAGGGCTGGAGCAAGAGCCCAGTGGGAGACTCCTGCAATACCCAACTCAGGTGGGAGTGGATGGTGGCTCAGACCTCGGAGGCAGGAGTGGAGTGTGGAAATTGGTAGGGTTCCAGATACATTTTGAAGGTGGAGTCAACAGGAATTACTGGTGGGGGCTATAAGAGAAAGAGAGGAGTCGCTCCCATTAACTGAAATGGGGAAGGCTGAGGAGGAGCAGGCACTCTATTTCGGACCTGTTTGAGGAGCTGGCGGGGCCGCCAGGTGTGAGGCTTTGCCAGGTGTGAGGCTTTGCCAGCCCGGTGGCTCCCCCGGTGCCTTACGCCTGGCTTGTGCTGGAGTGTGGTTTTGGTGGTGAGCGTTACAAGATGGGAACGCTCCCGGAATGTAGAAATATCCCGCTGTGGGCGAAAGTTCCCGAAGATCTGAAAGATCCAGGGGTGTTCCCGGTCCGGACGCGGCTGCTGGGAGCCATGTTTGGCCGGCACGGATCTCGAATCCCTTACATCGAGCAGAGAAGCAAGGCCATGCTCCAGCTGAAGGCTCTGGAGTCTTCAGACCTCACTGAGGTCGTGGTTCATGGCTCCTATTTATACAATCTCGGGACCCCATGGATGTCCAGTCCATGGCTGAGTGGCACCGCCAGCGCCAGGAGCGAGGGATGCCCTGGAACTAGGCCCTTGGATGAAGTGAACCAGCTTCCTGCCAGGATGAAGGCCAGGATGTAGAGATTAGGTTGTGGCCAGAGCTGGAGTGATTTCTCCAGCTTGGTTTAAAATCTGCTCCAGCCTGAGGAGTTAAGGGAAAATCATCTGTTTAGGGGTCTCTGCCCTTAGGTCTGAGTCTTGTTGTGAGTATCTCTTTGATGGTTGCCAATAAAAAGGTTTTTCTTTTTTAAATAATAAGCTTGAGGTGCCATACAAGCAAGAATGTCAAGCACATGATGGATGTACAAGTCTGGAAGGAGATGGGGGCTAGGGATGAAGTCTGGGATAGGGTTCAAAACATGTTTAAAGTGTCCATGAACTCTCACATTTTGCAAATGGGATTATATTCTGGTATAATCTTTTTGGAGGGCATTTTGGCAGTATCTCAACTACTAAAAATGTACACACCTTTGGCCAGCCCTTCTATGATATTATCTCACAGAAACACTATACAGCTATGCAAACTATGCACAAACATGAACAAGGTGGCTCATTACAGCATTTTTATAGGAGCAAAAAAACAAGTATTTCTCCATGAGTTGCCATAGGACGTAAGTAAAAAACACAAATGGCAGGACAATATCCATGCGTGACATTTTTTCACTAGTTTTTTTTTTTTTTTTTTGAGACAGAGTCTCACTCTGTTGCCCAGGCTGGAGTGCAGTGACACTATCTCGGCTCAGTACAAGCCTCCCAGGTTCAAGCAATTCTTGTGTCTCAGGCTCCCAAGTAGCTGGGATTACAGGCATATGCCACCACACCTGATTATTTTTGGTATTTTTATTAGAGACAGGGTTCCTCATGTTGGCCAGGCTGGTCTTGGACTCCTGGCCTCAAGCAATACACCCGCCCAGCCTTCCAAAGTGCTGGGATTACAGGCATGAGCCACCACACCCAACCTGTTTTTAAACAACTTTTTAACTGTCTTGACAGATATTAGTGTTTGTGTAGGCAGAAAAAAATGGCTGAAAGTAAGCAGAAATACTCTTAATAATTTTGGGGAAAGGACTGAGAGGAGGACACTTCCTTTTTATTATTTATGCGCTATTTGAATTTGTTTTTATACACAGGTGTCCAAACTTTCGGCTTCCCTGGGCCACATTAGAAGAATTGTCTTGGGCCACACCTAAAATGCACTAATACGATAGCTGATAAGCTTAAAAAAATGGGGTCCATGCATAATGTTCATGATATCTACACCACAAATAAGCAAAAACATCCTTGCAATCAAAAAGTTGGACATTTGTGAAACTCTGAAATTTAAGTTTAAAAAAATATGAAAAACAAAGGCCAGGTGCAGTGGCTCGTGCCTGTAATTCCAACATTTTGGGAGGTGAAGGCCGGAGGATTGTGTGAAGCCAGGTGTTTGAGACCAGCCTGGGCAACACAAGGAGACTTTGTTTCTACAAATAATTTTAAATATTTGCTGGGCATGGTGGTGCAGGACTGTGGTCCCAGCTACTCGGGAGGCTGAGGCAGGGGTGTTGCCTGAGCCCAGGAGGTTGAAGCTATAATGAGCTGTGATCGTACCCCTGAACCCCAGCCTGGGTGACAGAGTGAGAACTTGTCTCAAAAAGAAAAAAGCAGTGAAAAAAAAAACAAGTAAAGGCCAAAAATGTGTGTGGGAGCCCAGACGTAAACAAACAAACAAAAATGTGGTCAATAGGACAGGTTATAAGATGAAGACAGCACCTCACAAGGAACTCCCTTTGTGCTGATGAAGTCCCCAGGGGAGGGGAGCTGAAGAGTGGTTCCAAAAGTGACCTGAGCCCTGTTACCCATGCAGGATCGCAGCCATTCATTTCTATTCAGTTAGCCAGGGAGCAAACAAAAATCGGGCATGGTGCAATCAGGGATGAATCCAGTTTATCAAGCAGAGAGATACTGGTAGAACAGGAACCCGAGGGTGGAGACAGGTGACGCGCAAAAGAAATGGGAAGGCAGGGAAGAGAGTGTATCAGTCGGAGGAAATGGGCTGCAGCACCAGAGGCTGCTGAGAGGTCAAGGGAGATGAGGACCGAGGGGTGGCTGTTGCCACTGGAGGGACCAGAGGGTGCTGGTGACCTCAGCCTGGAGCCAGGGGGTGGGAGGGGTCATGCAAAGCTAAGGGAGACCTCTCCCAGGCTACTCAGATTCTGTGACTGTCTCTGAGGCTATCTACAGGCAGGACGGAGAAGCCAAAAGTATGACAAGGGTGCGTTGTCCTGTCCTTCCCGGTAACAGGGAAGGGGGCCATGGAGCCTCCTCCATAAGCAGAACTGCTCCTAAGTGACAAGACCACCCAATTGGGGCTCCATTTGCCTCATTAGAGCAATGGAGGCCTGCTGCACTCCTCTTCCTACCCACAGCTCCCTCCTGCACTACTGGGGGCTTGCATGCATGTGGAAAATTGGAGAAATGCCTGTTTGCCAAAGCTCCCTCCACTTCCCTCCTCTTCCCCCCACCATAGCCACCCTTTTAAGTCAGCCCTGGGAGGACAGACTTAAAGAAGAGGACTGCATAGACCCTGGAGTAAACTCAGGACATGGACACATACTTTTGGGGTCCCAGGTACCTAGAGGGCAGGCATGGGGCACATCATCTTGGCCCTGTGGTCTCTTACTCTGTGGGAAAGAGTGCAGTTGGGGGACAGCCAGAGATGGGCCTTGCACATACACAGTCCATGGCAGGCGATCCTGGCTTCTCAGCTCTCAGGACAGAAAAGGTACTGGAAAGGACAAAAGAGAGAACCAGCCCCAACCAACAGAAGTAGAATTGGAAGTAGCACAGGCGTGTGGGCAAGCATCCGAACACTCATCTCTGGAAGTGGTTTCAGGATGTATGGCAAACAAACTCACCGTGGAGTAGAAAGTGGTTATATCGCTTGTGAACAAAAGCTATCGTGTGCAAATGACAACAGTCAATATGATGTCACGCTGCTGCCCTGGACAAACAATCCTCTTCCCCAATCTCAGGGATGCTCTCATCACCCCCTGATTGCACACATAGGACACCTGGGAGTCATTCCTGGTGTCTGTTTCTCACCTCCCATTATCCATCAGCAAGTCTTGTCAATTGTGCTTTTTGGATGTGTCTCTAATCCAGTTCCCTGTCTCTCATCCAATCTCCCTTCATCTCCTTCCTAACCATTGTGTTAGTTTCCTAACTGAACCTCCTGATGCCTCTTGCCTCTCCTGTCTATTCTTACAGCAATCAGAATGATCTCAGTAAAACAGAGCTCATCATGACATCCCCCAGCTTAAGACCCTTGATAAGCCTCCTCCTGCACTCAGAATAAAGTCCAAATTTCCTAATGTGGCCTACCAACCGACTTACAATCTGGCCCCAACCTATCAGTGTCATTCCTCCACCTTCACACTTTTTAAGTTCTACTCCTCCTGAATTTCTTTCAGTCCTTCCCACATTTCAAGATTTTTGTAGAGATGGGGTCTCCCTGTGTTGCCCAGACTGGTCTCAAACTCCTGGCCTTAAGTGATCCTCCTGCCTCAGCCTCCCAAAGTGTTGGGATTACAGTTGTAAGCCACCACACACACCATGCTCTTATTCAAGTACTTTTTTTTTTTTTTTAAGACGGGGTTTCACCATGTTGGTCAGGCTGGTCTTGAACTCCCGACCTCAGGTGATCCGACCGCCTTGGCCTCCAAAGTGCTTGGATTACAGGCGTGAACTATCACGCCCGGCCTCAAGTACTTTTTTTATTTTTTGCTATTCTACTAACTGTGGAGTTGTATTGCATTGTGGTTTTAATTTCCACCTCCCTGATGACTAATAATGTTTGGTCTACTCATTCTTTGAAATCTCTGCTTGGTTTTCATTTATTCCAAGAAGTAATCGCCCCTTCTACAGACTAAGTTCCTGTCCTCCTTTGTAGTTCCATGACAACCAATATATATATCTCCACCTTAGCCTTAACCCACTAAAGTACAGCTGTTTTCCCATTACCTCCACACGCACCACCCTCATCACAAACACACACATACACCACCGTGCACTTCCCGAAGGCAGAAGATATTACAAGACACCATACTTCTTTGGTATCTTCAGCTACCAGCACAGACCTGAAACACAACCCTAATACAATAAATATGAGTGAGTGAACAACTGCTGAACAAATTAAAGAATGGATGAAGGTAGGTAGGTACCAGGTTTTGCAGACAGGCCTGGCTGTGTCAGTTAAACCTTTCTCCTGGGTCCTTACATTAGTAAGCTCACTTTTAAAGAGACGAGGCTGAAGACGCGAACGGTTAAGACGACCACAGCGATGACGTACTCCGAGAGAAAGGCAAGGCGGAAGGGGCGGGGCCGGAAGCGGAAGGGCCGCAGGCCGTTAGCGGCGTCTCAGTCGCCATGGAGACCAGGAGCTCCAGCGCACCGAGGTCTTCAGCGTCCCCGACCTACGAGTGCCCGGGGACGATGTGGGAGCCAACTTCGCCACCGGCCGGGTCCAGCAGCCCCAGCCAACCTACCTGGAAGTCCTCCTTGTCTTCCTCTCTCGCCTGCTCCCAGGGCTTCCCCCACAGCTTCGCAGCCAGGCCGCGCCGCCTCACGCAGCTCGAGCTCGCACCGCGCCCGGAGCCGCAGCTGCTTCGTCTGCGCCCCTCCTCGCTGCGCACCCAGGACATCTCCCACTTGCTCACCGGCGTCTTCCGCAACTTGTACTCGGCAGAGGTCATCGGCGACGACCTGAGCGCAAACTTGATCAAGGCCCGCGGCAGCGACAATGAGCGCCACGAGGAGTTCGTGGACCAGCTGCAGCAGGTAACGCGGCGGTGGTAACGCGGCGGTAGCGTCGCGTCTGCGGACGGTGCTGAGGACTCAGCGTTCGGCACGCGTGAGCACCTGCCGGGTACCAGGTGCAGTTCCAGGATCTGGGGCTGCAGCTGAGAAACAGCCCATCATGCCAAAGTGGGCCCGACATTCTAGTGGAAAGACGCTCTGGCCATACACACACATGGGTATACCACGCACGTGCGGCACGTGTCTACAGCACCTATCTATATTTCTCTGGACACATATGTTATATATTGCATATATCAATGAACAACTGCGGCGAACCGCTGAATAGTTGCTCCATGGAGATGATAAAGCCAAAAGTCACGCCGCTTTGGGGTGCCTTTTTATCACAAACCACAGTCTTGACTGGGCCAGTCATGCGCAGATTTTAGGAAGCATGTCTAGTCTCTGGAACAGCAAAAACCAGCTGACGTGGGGCCTCTGTGCTGAGTCAGCCTCTGCTGGCCACACTACTAAGGACTCGCTTAAACTTGTGGGCACTCCTCCCCAACCGGACCCTTTCCTCCGGTGTGCCTGCCTCCTGCCTTTCAGATCTTCTTCTCCATTCCATTCTGTTCTCTACCCGCCCCTTAAGTGACATGCATCCCTTGTCCTTCGCTTCAGTCACTCCTTCACTTGACACATTTGTTGGCTGGGCGCGTGGCTCACGCCTGTAATCCCAGCACTTTGGGAGGCTGAAGTGGGCGGATCACCTGAGGTCTCGAGTTTGAGACCAGCCTGATCAACATGGAGGAAACTCTGTCTTTACTAAAAATACAAAATTAGCCGGGCATCGTTGCAGGCTCCTGTAATCCCAGCTACCCGGGAGGCTGAGGCAGGAGAATCGCTTGAACCTGGGAGGTGGAGGTTGCGGTGAGCCGAGATCTCGCTATTGCACTCCAGCCTGGGCAACAAGAGTGAAACTCCATCTCAAAAACACAAAACAAAACGAGACACATTTGTTGAACGTCTGCTGGATGTCATGCTCTGTTCTACGAAGTGGGAATTCGGCAGTGAATAAAAACGCCAGTGTTCAGGCGCACACACACTCACACATACAACCTGTCCTCTGTAGCTTTCAACCTAACTAAGGTAGCTAGATGTTAACAAAATGAATACCCATACAGTATGTGAGATAGTCTTAAGACCAGCCTTGCCCCCTCCATGGGCTATAGGCTTCTTGAAATGCAGCCAGAAACCCCGGCTAAGACCCTGTACTCTAATTCCTGGGTCACCACATTCACTCTGCTAAGACTTCAGCCTACCCAGGCCAGACCTCGCCCTTGTACTTCTGACTCACATCCCTGTCATTCACATAAGCTGGAATATATGGAGTATCATAAACCTATAAACGCCACGACCAGTCACCCAGTTCACTGGATTCTATCTTCTCAGTATCTGTCCCACAAGAAGCCACTACACCAGAGTCTGAATTGGCAAAGAGTGATCCCTCTTTTAGAAAAAAAAAAAAAAAAAAAGGGATACATGTTACCTTTTTTTTTGAGACAGGGTCTGGCTCTGTTGCCCAGGCTGGAGTGCAGTGGCGTGATCACAGCTCACTGCAGCCTTGACATCAGGGGCTCAACTGATCCTCCCACCTCAGTATCTGGAGTAGCAGGGACCACAGGTGTGCACCAGTATGCCCAGCTAATTTTTTATTTTTCAGAAATTGTGAGACACGGTCCCACTCTGTTGCCCAGGCTGGTCTCAAACTCCTGGCCTCAATCAATCTTTCCACCCTGGCCTCCCCAGGTGTCTGTATTACAAGTGTGAGCCACTGTGCCTGGCCCATATTATAAAAATCTTAATTTAAAAGCTGAAATTAATTTAAACATTTGAAGTTTTTAAATTGCAGAAAATTTAGAATGCAGAAAAGTTTAAAGAGTGATCCTGTAGAAATACAACTATGCAAAGATAAGTTGACTTTATAAATTATGGTATATTCACACTACAGAATACTATGAAGTTGTTAAAAAGAATGAATTATATCTGCATTATGGAGCTGTCTAACATTTATTTATTTTTATTTAATTTATTTACATTTTTTTAAGATGGAGTCTCCCTCTGTTGCCCAGGCTGGGTGCAGTGGCACAATCTTTGCTCACTGCAACCTTTGTCTCCTGGGTTCAAGCGATTCTCCTGCATCAGCCTCCCAAGTCGCTGGGATTACAGGCACGTGCCACCATGCCTGGCTAATTTTTCTATTTTTAGTAGAGATGGGGTTTCACCATGTTGGCCAGGCTGGTCTGGAACTCCTGACCTCAAGTGATCCGCCTGCATCAGCTTCCCAGAGTGCTAGGATTACAAGTGTGAGCCACCGCGCCTGGCCTCCCATTTATTAATTTAGCAAAAAGCCATAGAACAATGTTAGGATAATTCCATTTTTTATAATATGTTTAGTTGCGAAGAAAGCTAAAAACTTTTACAACAAAATGTTAGCAATACTCTTACAGGACATTTAACTTTTTCTTTGCCCATTTCTGTATTGTCTGAATTTTGCCATGTACATGAATTAATTTTGTAATTACAAAAAAGAAACTTTGAAAAGAGCAGGCATCTGTTATTCCACTTTTGCAATGTTGCTTTTCTTATACCCGCATTCCTCTCCCTCTTTCCTCTGTCATCATCTGTTCTTTGCTTTTCCTCAATTGTCTCTAGATGTCAGCGCCACATGACTGGAAAGGACTCAAATTCATTCTCCCTGGGAGAAGCGATAATCACTATTCCATATGAGTGTCTGCATTGACTGAGTTTTCCCTCAGGCAGCCCCCTTGGCCGCTGGTCCTCCCTAGATCCACCTATAGAAATACCGCATGGTAGCCAGGCGCGGTGGCTCAAGCCTGTAATCCCAGCACTTTGGGAGGCCGAGGTGGGTGGATCACAAGGTCAGGAGATCGAGACCATCCTGGTCAACATGGTGAAACCCCGTCTCTACTAAAAATACAAAACATTAGCTGGGCATGGTGGCGCGTGCCTGTAATCCCAGCTACTCAGGAGGCTGAGGCAGGAGAATTGCTTGAACCCGGGAGGTTGAGGTTGCAGTGAGCCAAGGTCGCGCCACTGCACTCTGGCCTGGCGCCTGGTGACAGAGTGAGACTCTGTCTCAAAAAAAAAAAAAAAAAAGAAAGAAATATCGCATGGCCTAATGACTAAGAGCAGATGCTCTGGAACCGTGTGCCCTGGGTGCAAATCCTGGCTCCTGCACATACCATCTGTATGACCTTGGGTTATCTTTACATCTATATGCCTCAGTTTCCTTATCTATAAAATACAGATAGTAACAATATTCACCCCATAGGTTTTGAGGAGTAAATGAGTCAATACAGTAAAGCATTTACAACATTGAGTATTTACAATATGGTAAGCACTCAGTAAGTGATGGTTGGTCTTCTTATTATTTGGATAAGATGCTAATTTCTGCATCCAAAAGTCAGGGTCAGAGATTGTCAGCAGTCCCGAATAATAAGATACATGCCACAGAACATAATACTTTATATCTGAGGACATGTCCCAGGCCATTGTCTCCTGAAAGGCGTTTCCTGACCTCAAGAAGATGTAGCTATTTCCTCTTAGCAGTCCTTATATCCTGATTCATATGCCATTATAGCACTTTTAAGAGTTTATTCCACCTATTTATATCCTTGCCAGGCTCCTCCTGTTAAACTGTAAACTCTCTGAGACCAAAAACCATATCTGATTCATTTCCCCAAATGTAAATTGTAAATACACAATAAATCTTATTTTATTTATTTACTTATTTTTTTGAGATTGAGTTTTGCTCCTGTTGCCCATGCTGGAGTGCAATGGCATGATCTTGGCTCGCTGCAACCTCTGCCTCCTGGGTTCAAGTGATTCTTCTGCCTTAGCCTCCCACATAGCTGGGATTACAGGTGCCTACCACCACACCCGGCTGCACAATAAATCTTTATTAAAAGAATGACTAAATATATATCTTTGTGGTCCCACTAACTTTAGGAATACAATAAGGAACACTGTCTCCCTATAGAAACTACGTTGTTTTTTTCTTTAAAAGAAATGGAGTTGGCCAGGCATGGTGGCTCATGCCTGTAATCCCAATACTTAGAGAGGCTGAGGTGGGAGTATCACTTGAGTTCAGGAGTTTGAGACACCATCTCTCTTTTTGTTTTCTTTCTTTTTTTTTTATTAAAATAAGCTTATAAAAACAATAGAGATGGGGTTTCACCATCTTGGCCAGGCTGATCTTCAACTCCTGACCTCATGATCCACCCGCCTCGGCCTCCCAGAGTGCTGGGATTACAGGCATGAGCCACCATGCCCAGCCTGAGACACCATCTCTACAAAAATTTAAAAATTTGCTGGACATGGTGGTGTATGCCTGTAATCCCAGCTACTTGGAGGCTGAGGCAGGAGGATCCCTTGGCCCCAGGAAGAGCAGGCAGCGGTGAGCCATGATTACGCCACTGTACGCCAGGCTAAGCCACAAAGCAAGACTCCAGCTGTAATAAATAAGAAAGGAAAAGAAGGCCAGGCGGTGGCTCATGCCTGTAATCCCAGCACTTTGGGAGGCTGAGGTGGGTGGATCACCTGAGGTCAGGGGTTCGAGACCAGCCCGGCCAACATGGTGAAGCCTCGTCTCTACTAAAAAT